ACTGTCCACCTCGTGAGAGAGTGAAGAGGCCTTCTCCACTTGTGGATCGCAACAGCTACAAAGGGCGGCTGTTGTGCAACAACAGCAACAACAAGTGACACTTGCATAGTGCCCTCCATGTCGGAAACTGTCCCGACGACTTGAGCGACAGAGTGCGACAGCGAGCCCTGCAGAGCTGGGAGAAGGATCTGCTTTCCTTTTGTTGCTCTCTGAAAGCCGACAGCTGTCTCGGGTGATGGGCTGAGCCCGGGGGCTCCTCTGCCTGCAGTTGGGCTTTGAACGCACATGCACGCACACACCTGCGATGAGAGGTGGTGGCAGCTCGGTGTCGTCATTCATGAGCGCGCCGGCTCAGGTTCTGGGAAAAGAAATAGGTGCCTTGAGCATAATTTTTGAACATAATGTTCCGAATGCGGTGAAGTGGAGTTAAGTATTGGAGTCGGGTTTAACTTGCCTCTTCAACTGTGTCTGTGGTCACTTACCCCTCCCTCCCACCCCCACCTCCTGTCTGGCTTGTGTGTGAAGACTTGCCTCTTCAACTATAATCTGTGGTCACCTACCCCCCACCCCCTCACCTCCCGTCTTGCTTGGGTGTCAGCCTGGCTCAGTCGGTAGCACTCTCACCTCTCTGCCCCACCTGCCTGTTCAGGTGGACGTTAAAGATCCCATCGCACTGAAAAGAGAAGGAGTTTCTCTCTCTCTCTCTCCTTCCCGGAGTCCTGTCCAACAGTCCCCTAAAATAAAATTGGTCGCTCACTTCATGATTGATTGTGGGACGCTGCTGTGAGCCGCGTTTCCCCCACAAAACACACAACCAGTCCACTTTACAGTATATCCCGTGAAGCGCTTTGGAGACGTGTCGACTGTGTGATAAGCCGCAATGTCAAATGCAAGGATTGTTACTAAGTTCCTATGGTTTTTAAGAAAGGCTATGGTTTTAATGAATATTAAATCTGAGCAGAAATTCCCGTGTTTCTGCTTGTAAAAAAAAAAAACCCTCCTCTCCTGCACGATACGACACAGCTGCATTTCTCTCTCTCTCTCTCGCTCTCTCTGCAATTTTCGCTGCCGGTGGCTCACTGTAATAGCCGGGTCTTTGTGTTTTGCTGTGTGTGTGTGTGGGTGTGTGGGTGGTGGTGGTGGAAGTAGGAGAAGATTAAAGGACGGAATGTGTTGCAGCGTGCGCTGGCAAAACTGCACTTGCTTGTGTAGCGCCTGAGTCACTCTCCAGCTCTGAAGGTGCAGCGTGAAGAGAACTGCTCTCTTTTCCTTTGTCTTTAGCCCTCCCAAACCCCTCTCTTACGCTCACAGACGGTCGTGGATTGGGTGACTCAATTTTTTTTTTTTACCCCGGTAAGCGATCCGCCAGTCCGCTCAACTGGGTAACTGGGTTCCTATTTACTGCTTGGTAAACGGGGGGGGGGGTGTGTGTGGAGTAAGGAAAGTTGCCTGCTTTTCATCTGTCTCTCTCCCCCCCCCCCCCCCCCCCCTCCCCCCGTCTTGCCCCCTCCTTTCCCCATCTTCAGGTCACGTCTGAAGACCTTCCCGTTTGACTGTACCAACGGTCACCTCCTCCCCCGGCTCGAGGTTCGTGCTCCGCCATTGTCGAGCCCTCTGGGATGGTACCAAGCGTATAAATGCAAGTTGTAGCTGTTGCCTAAGGGTTCCACCCACGAGGCGAGTGCACTAACCACTACGCCACAGGAGTCCACAATGGTGCATGTCGGCAGACCTTCAACAGAATAGGAGCATCCGAACAAAATCCGATCAGTTCCCTAGCCTATTTCTTTGCCCAGCATGAACTTCCTTCTCCTTAAAAGGAGCAAACCCATTTCTGGATCCCTGTCAGCGTAGACTAGAGGGAAGCAGAGTTTATTGGCTCTGGGCACTTCGCTGGGAGCCAGGGAAATAATGAAGTGCTTATTTATTAAGTGTTTGCGACCCGATTACATGACTTCAGTATTTTAGCAAAATCTCAGTCCAGGCAATGAATTCATTGTTCCAAACTTGCTGGGTTTCCACTGACAGGAAGCCCGTAAGAATGATCCAGAGCAAGTGGCAAAGGCAGACAAGGTTAAGTTCAGAGGAAAAAATAAACGATGTACCCGATGTTCTCGCATTTTGATTCAGCGCTTAATCACATCGGAAGGATGTCTCATAGAGTCCTGTCGTAGAATCCTGTAGCTCAGTGGTGAGAGCACTCGCCTCGCAAGCAGGAGGACCTGGGTTTGATTCCCGGCGGGGCGAAACCTTGGGCAAGTTTCCTTACTCCGCACACCTCTGTTTGTCTAGCAGTAAGTAATAACACGGTTGGCGTTGGCTCTTTGAAAGAGCTACCAACCAGTCGCACTCCTTCGCTTTTACCCAATAGCAGCCCCGGCAATTTTTTCTTCCAAGAGCTTCACAGGATTTACTGTAAACTGTAGTGACCGTGTGTTCGTAGGCGAACGCGGCAGTCAATCTGCACACTGCAATGTCCCAACAAACCAGCCACTGAAGGGAAAGCGCTCGCTGCGGGTCGCACACCCCGCGCGAGGGGAGCTATGTAAACCGAAGTCGTCGTCGTTGAGTGACGTTGGTCAAGACACCGGGAAGAGAGAAACTCCTTTTGTCTTTTCGAATAGCGTTTCGTTCGAGGGCCGGTGACTCTGACAGTGCAGTGCTCCAGCACCGGGGCTGGAGAATCAGCCTGGACTCTGAGCTCAAAGCCCCGAAGCGAGGTTTGATTTGTGAACCTCTCGAAAGAGCTACAGTTGGTGTTAGAACATAAGAACATAAGAATTAGGAGCAGGAGGAGGCCATTCGGCCCCTCGAGCCTGCCCCGCCATTCGATAAGATCATGGCTGATCTTCTGACCTAACTCTAATTACCTGCCCTATCCCTGTATCCCCTAATCCCTCTGTTTTTTAAAGATCTATCAGATTTATGCCTGTATTGTGCCTCGGTCTTGGCTAAGTGCTGGGAAATCTCTGGCAGGGCTGCAGCGTTCTTCATGGCTTGCGTCAGTCTCTTTATACACAGTATATATAAAACAAGTCAGCGATGAGTTTATGAGGAGAGCGCGCCATGTGTGATCTTGACTGATGGCATATGTTATGAAGCGCTCTCCTCTGACTGTCCCTCTCCTGGTTTTTTAAAAAAAAAAAGAGAACTTGATAAGTCAGGGGTAGAGCATGGAATCAGGCTGTTTGCCCCAACAGTCGGAGCTGGTGTTCATACTCCACACTCGCCCTCACCTCTCCTATACCCTGAGCGTTACCTGCCAGAAGGGGGGGGCGCTCGTGCGCGCGTGTGTGTGTAGGACAACACCGCGATCGGGCTGTGAGTGTGCGCGCGTGCGCGTGTGTGTGTGTGTATAGGCTAAGCTGACACTCGAATGCGGTGCGAGGGGACGCAGTACATTGTTGCAGGGCGCTGTCCTTCGGATGAGACATTAAACCCTAATCCTAATCCCTATTCCCTGACCGTTCGGCGCCTCGGGACGTCCTCCCGACGTGAAAGGCGCTGTACAAGTGCGATTTTGTATCGCAAACCGCCCGCGCTCTGCATTCCCGGACGGGTGGTGAGGAATTCCGGAAAGCTCGTCCTGACTGATCTGATCTTGTCGTCTCTGTGGTTCTCGTTCTGGCAGGTTTCCCCCCCCCACACCCACCCCCCCTCCTCCTCGAGCCAACGTGGATTTCCCGAGGCAAGCCAGCCCGGCCCGCGCCGTCTCTGGGAATGGCTGTGACGGTGCTGGGGTCGGGGAGGCCCAGGCTACGGGGAAGGTGTTGCCTCCGCGCTCCGCCCCCAGCCCCCAGAGCGAAGCCGTCGCCGACGAGCTGCAGGAGCTGACGCTGCAGCCCCACAAGGGTCTCGACCTCCCGCAGGACAGCGCGAGAGGTGAGTGTCCGCGACAGCAGCAACTTGCGTTTACACAGCGCCGCCGAGCTGCGTGCCAGAGCGCTTGCTTGACAGTGGCGGAGCACGGCGCCGGGGGGGGTAGGGGGGCAGTGACCGTGGGCACAGAATAGGACGGTCTTCAGGCGCGACCTGAAGAGGGGAAAGGAAGGGAGGGGCAAGGCCGAGGGAGGGGCCCCCCTCTCTTCTTCCCCCCCCATCCACCCCCAGCCCCCGCCGCCTCCTTCAAGACCCGTCTCAATATTCCTCCTTGACCGTGTCTTCGGTCATCTCCCCCACCCAACACCTGCCTCCCCCCCCTCCGCCTTCCACCTCTCTCTCTAAGCCCAACCCGCAGCTCGGGCGCAAACGCCCTCAAGTCCAGCGCCTTGGGACGTCCGCCTGACGTAAAGGCCGCTGTAGCGAACGAAAAGATTATTGCTCTGGGACTCGTAATGTTTCCTTGATCCCCGACCCTCGCAGTCTACTTGACTGAGGGAGTGAGGGACTGGGAATGCCAAATTATGCTTGCGTAGCAGAAATGCCTCTCGGTCTAGGGCTGTTTGTACTCTTAGCCTTCCTGTCTCGGCTCTTGATGTTTTTCCCAGCAGTGAACTGGTGGCTTCATGTTGTCGATGTGTTTTTAATGTAAATGAGCCTCTGTGCCCCAGTAACTGTGTGGAATGTGCAAACCTAGGGAATCGCATCTTGCCGGGCCGGGGGATTTCAGTCCAAAGCAAAACTGACAGGCATTTGGGTCCAGGCGCTTTGCAAAAATAATACTATTAAATTGGTCGCTCAATCCATGACTATCTGTACTCAATTGACTGCCATGTTTCGCCCACAAAACATGCAATCCCTTCGCTTTACGGTACATCGTGTGGAGCGACTTGAGACGTCTCAACGATGTGATAAGCCACTATATCAAATGCAAGAATTATTATTATTTTGTAGGCTGCTGAAGGGTTTAAAAGGAAGGAAGGCAGTTTAGTGTGGAGGAATGAGGAGAGGACTCAACAGAGCAAGGTTCAAAGGCTTTTTTTAAGTGTTGTGTACACAAGCCTGTCAATTGCTGGGGGGGGGGCTGTCTCTGTCTCCCACGTCAGTAGGAGGGAGGGGCGGAGGCCGAAAGGGAGGTAGCGGGTGGATGTGCAACAAGCAGAGTGTGTGTGTGTGTATATATAAACACACACTACTGTTCCTGCTCTTTACTGTGCAAGCATTTGATCAGGGAAGGCGGCTTATTGAGAGCTGCCCAACTGGAATGACATTGTTGAGCACAAAGAACCTGCTGCTAATGGTGCACTGCCGATACAGAGCAGGTAAGGAGCCTGCGAACAACAACAACAACTTCCATTTACACCGCGCCCCTCATGCAGGCCAGCGTCTCAGAGCGCTTGACAGTGGCAGAGCACGACGCCGAGCCGGCGGGTGGGTGACCGTAAGCACGGTCGAAGGGGGAAGGTCTTCAAGCACGGCCTGAAGATAAGGAAGGAAGGGGGCAAGGCGGAGGGATAGACGAAGAGTGTTCCAGAGTTTCAGGGCGGCAGTGGCCGGGTACATAAAGCATCGATCGTGCATTTCATATCCTGTATTGCCTTTCACTTCAAGAGGCTGCCTCCGGGCACTTCATGGGATTTACTGTGAAGTGCAGGGACCGGGTATTGTGTTGGCGAAGGGGGCAGACAGTTTGTATTCCAGCCACGTCCCACAAACAGCCGTAAAGTGAGCGAGTGGTTTTGTTTTGGGAGGGAAAGGGTTGGGGGGGGAGGGAGGGTTTTTTTTTTTGGCCAGGAGAGAGAGAGAGAGAGAAACTCCCTTCTCTTTGCAAAAGAGCCGCGGGTGATCTTTAACATCCGCCTGAACAGGGCACGGACGCGGACAATTACACCGCTCTATTCTCCCACCTCTTTCTCCTGCCCCGCGGTACTGCATTAGAGTTCCAGTCTAGACCGTGTGAGTTCAAAGTTCCTGATGTGGGGCTGGAGTCCACAATATTGACTCGGGGTGGGGGGGGGGGGGGAGAACGAGACTAGTACAGACCGAGCCAGGCTGACACACCCCGGAAAGCCAGTTCCTTGTAATCTTGAATCACCTTGCCAAAGGGCGTTCTGTTCAGTTAAAAAAAATACGGTCGATTCACTTGACAGTATATTGTGAAGTATATTGTAAAGGGAAGCGCTTTGAGAGTCTGGAAGGCATGATCAGGCGCTGCGTCAAATGCGAGGATTATTATCATTGCTTATTACGGGAAAATCTGGGTCAGTAGAACACAGTTTGCCAATTAAGTGGGACAGACTTGCAGGAATCTGGAAGGAGGTACATTCCAGTGCGGATCCAGACTTGCCCACTACGGCTAGTGGTTATTTCCAAGAACACTCCAGATTGCAGCTGCACCTAATACTGTCTCGTATCTAAGCCCGCGCTTGGCACCCTTTTGATTTCCTGGGCGGGGTGGGGGCAGAACTATAAGGCAAGTTTCCTTACTCCACACACACACACGCACACCTCTGTTTACCGAGCAGTCATGTAGGAACCCGGTTGTTAGTTGATTGGCGATCCGGGGCTAATAATCCCTCCAAAGAAAAAAATAATAATAATGATTTGGTCACTCGTGGCTGTTTGTGGGACGCTGTAGCTGCCGGGTTTCGCCCACGAAATACACAGTCACTCCACTTTACAGTATATCCTGAGAAGAGCTTTGAATGACATGATAAGGCGCTCGCTATCTATCGAATGCAAAGATTCTTCTTCTTCTCCTCAGTGTATTCCAGCCCCCTCTCTTCCCCACCCCACTTTCTCCCCCCACCACCCCGTCTTTCTCCCCTTTCCGCCATCCGCACAGACATCACTCTCTCTCTCTCTCTCTCTATATATATATATCTTTCTCGCTCTGATACTGTCAGGACATCCCCACGTTGGGTGGCTGCCATATCGCGTTAAGCGATTTACCGCTTCACTACCCTATAATGGGGGAAGACGCTTATACAAGCACCATTTGGTTGTGTGGAAATTGCTGGAGTTTCATTGTGAGCAAGGACTGACTGATAGACAGCGAGGAATTACCCTCCACCACATCCAGAGAGTTTACGTGCCCGTTGGCTTCCTGGTTCTTTTTTTGCTTGTTCATTTCGAGGCAAAGTAATATTGCTCGGGTTTTGGTATAATAGGAATAATAATCCTAGCATTTGAGACAGAGTCGGGACGACGGCTCGGAAGCGCTTCACGGTGGCTAACTGTAGGGTGTAGTGACCGTGTAATCTGTGGGCGAAGGCCATTTTGAGCACAGCAACGTCTCACAAACAGCCATGAAAGTGAATTGGAATTATTTTCCAGAACACCGGGAGAGAGAAACTCTATTCCCTTTTCAAACAGCGCCGCGGGATCTTTTAACGTCCACCTTAACAGGCAGACGGAGAGTGAGCTTTAACATCTCCGTCTTAAATGTTATAACTTCAATGATCTCTCTCTCTCTCTCTCTATAAACTTTTTTTAACTTCCTCTTCAAGGAAGCATTGTTTCCAATTAAAACACACACTCACTCAGCATCCACCTCCATCCCTTTGATGTTATGCTACGTAATGAGCTGTATAATAAACAAGTATAGTTCTGTAAGGTTTTCCCCTCTCGTTTCAAGAGTCCCAGAACATCCATTCGTTCCCGAGAGGTGGTCTAGAGCAGAGGTCAAAGATTTACGATAATCTTTGGAGGGTGGGATTTGGAGTTGAGGTACAGATGATCTAATAGAATAATAATAATAATGGCGGAACAGGCTCGAGGGGCTGAATGGCCTACTCCTGTTCCTATGTGTATCTTGCTTTGAAAAGTCTTAATGATGTGATAAGGCGCTGTATCAAATGAAAGGACTATTATTATTTACAATTTGGATGATCGGTTGTGTGGTGGTGGGTTTGCGACAAAGGGGATCGGGATAGAGATTGGTTTAAACTTCTAAGTGTATTAATTAATGTCTCCCGTTTATTTTTCTCTCTCTCTCTCTCTGTCACTCTCTTCCTACCCCACTCCCCCTCCTTTTTCCCCCCTCACTCCAGAGCGCCTGTCCCCGCTGGGTCTCGCTCGGGGCAAAGGCCGGGAGAACGAGGCCCGGATGTCTCCACGTTTACGGCGACAATGCCACTCCGTCTTGAGCAAACAGGAGGAGCGTTTGCTGCAGGGTGAGATGTGCCTTGTGTTATTTGCCGTCTCCCTCTCAGACCCCGCTTTCATGGATGGATGGATGGATGGATGGAGGAATGGATTGTGAGGTGCTTTGGGCAGGGTCTGTTTTTTTTCCCCTGTAGATTTGTTTCGGTTCAAATCCCCTAAAGATCCGAGTTGGATAACGAGCGTCTCCTGATTCAGTGCTTGTGGGTCGACTGTGGGGGTGGGGTGGGGGGGGGGGGTGGGGGGCGTTGTTGTGGGTTCAAGCCCCACACGCCAGCACTTGAGCTCACAAGCTAGGCTGACTGCCGGCTTTGCTGCAGGGGGGGCAGAGTGCGGTGGTGTGGAAAGTGTGGGGTGGGGAATCCCTGCTTTATCAGAGGTGATTTCCATTGTGTTAAGCGCTAACCCACAGCCCCGGCTGTGCCTGTTACGGTCGGAAGCTAAAGATCCCAGCGGCGCCATTAGGAAAAGTAGAAGGAAGTTTCTCCCTGGTGTCCTGGCCGACAATTCTGATACAAAGTGGTCTGTTTGGCTTGTGGTCAGGGTATGGACTCAGGCTATTTGTGTTGACGCAAACTTGTGGAGTCTTGTTGTGTCGGGGATAGAGCACTTCCCTCGCAAGCGAGAAGACCCGGGTTCGATTCCCGGGCGAGACGAGGCGAAACCCTCGGCCCGTTTCCTTACTGCACACACACACACACACACACACCTCTGTTTACCAGCAGTAAGTAGGAACCCGGTTGTTAGTCAATTGGCGGATCGCTTTCCGGGGGTAATAATCCCTTCATTAATAATAACAATACAAACAATGTGGTCACTCGTTCCACGACTGTTTGTGTGGGACACTGCTGTGCGCGATTGGCTGCCGCGTTTCGCCCACAAACTACACAATCAACGTACTTTACAGCATACCCTGCAGACAAGCGATCTGCCAATCAACTAACAAATGTGTTCCTACTTACTGCTAGGCAAACCGAGCACTTTGAGAGGTCTCGATGACGTGCTAAGGCGCGAGATCAAATAGAAAGATTATTATTGTATCTTATTCCCCCATCACTATCTTGAACAACTCGAGCTCAACTCCATTTACTTTCCCAAGGACTTAGCAAAGCTCAGAGTTTTACCGGTTTGTGAGCTTCCTGCAATTCTGGTTAATAGGTGAGCGATTGCTTTTCTTCCTGTTTTCCAGGGCCACTGCAGTCATGATTCAGACAGGAGCTTACACGCTAAAGACAATTGCTATTTGTTGATGTTATGGTTGGTGAGACTCAAAGCTCAGTGAAACTGGTCTGATTATTAACCCTGCTATCTGGGTAGGACTGATTGCACCGGCTGATAGTATTCACTGAGACATACGTAAAGTGCTGTGCCTCCTTGATACAGCTAAACAAAACAGGGCGTCCTTAATGGTTCCTGCACAAGACCCGGTTGCTCCCTCCTCCCTCCGTGAAACTATAATAACCCTTGTGTTTGTTCACGTCAGGAAGATGTCTCGGAGCACTTCTAGGATATGCCGCAGTGACTATTTCTTGTAAGCGAACACAGCAGCCAACCTGCGCGTAGCAGCGTCTACTAACGGGAGTCCTGTGGCATAGTGGTTAGAGCACTCTCCTTGCACGCGAGAGGACCCGGGTTCGATACCTAATCAAGTTTCCTTGCCCCACACCTTGCCTCTGTTTACCCAGCAGTAAGTAGGTAACATATCTGTTAGTTAATTGACAGATCGCTTTTCTGCAGGAAATAATCACACAAAAAAAAACTACTACTAATAATAATGTGGTCACTCAATCCACACTGTTTGTGGGACGCTGCAGTGTGCAGTTGGCTGCTGCGATTACCCCACAAAATACACAAGTCAATTCACTTTACGGTATATTCTGTCAAGCGCTTTGAGAAGTCTCAGCGACGCGACATGGCCCTATATCGACTGCAAGGATCATTATTGTTATTATCATCAACTAACTCCCTCCCTTTAAAAGCTCCCTCCCTACCGCCTTACCGTGGAGCCCGTTGATGAGTTAGATCAGGACGGTGATCCTCTCAGGAAAGCGTTGACGAAATTGACTGCGATCGTCGGAAATAAAAGCCGGGGTATGACGACGGGCAAGTGGGACATCGCAGGCTTTTAACAAGGTCGGGTGAAGGCAAGCGGTGTGTTTTGGTGGCAGTCGAGCAGCTGTGCGCTGACTATTTTTGACGCATTAGGTCAGATGCTGTGAAGTGCCGAGCTTGCACTGGCTACGTAGACCAAGGGGCAGGCAGTCTGCCGAGGTTCGTCTGCAAGCTCTGCGCACTCTCCGCTCCAACCTCTGCGGTTCTGCATCTGAGCGGAATCAGGCTGCCGGGTTTCGCTGAGATTAGAGCGAATTTTTCTTTTTTTAAAAAAAGAAGAGAATAAGCAAGAAGCGGCTTATTTATTTGTGGGCGGAGTGCTGCACGGTTCGTCTAAGGTCAGAGGGATTCAATGTCGGGCTGAGCACAGTGGCTGGAAGGCTTCCCGTTCTGTACAGAGAAGTTTTTTTTCCTACCCCCCCCCCACCCCCAGTGAAAACAGTCGCTGCCACCAAGCAATGCTGGACAGGAACGTTGAATCTGTGTTCCCCGAGGTTCTGACCAGCTCAGGCCGCAGACCATGGAAGAACCCTCACGCCAGCGCTGCCCGGCACAGCTACCAGAGTTTAAAAGCAGGTTAGCTCCCTGCTGCGTCACCGCCGGAATAATATTAATAACTACGAATAAGAATGAATAAGAATCCTCGCGTTTGATACAGCGGCTTATCTTGTCGTCGAGACGCCTCAAAGGGGTTTCGTGGAATACACTGTAAAAGCGAATTGACTGTGAATTTTGTGGGCGAAACGCGGTGGCCAATTGCGCACAGCAGCGTCCCCACAAACAGTCGTGGATTTTTTTTTTTTTTCTTTTCGAGGGATTATTACCCCCGGATAGCGGTCCGCCGACTAACAACCGACAGGGGTTCTTACTTACTGCTCGGTAAACAGAGGCGTGTGGAGTAAGGAAACTTGCCTAAGGTCCTCTCATTGCAAGGCGACTGCTCTAACCACTGAACTGCTATACCTCTATGGCTCGGTTGCCAACTAAAGGTCTCAAAGCAACTCCTTCCCTCACGGAGGGGAGGCCAGACCTGACATTGCTGTTACCTTGACCTGCTCTCCTATAAGCCGCCCGCTGCCTGGCAGCCTCGAAGGTTCCTGCGTTCGCTTTCAGTCGCTCACAGCTGTTGCGTGGCTTCCCAAGGACTCACATCTGAGGCCGCGGAGGGAGGGATGGGGGAGTGTGCAGTGAGAGGAAGGAGCATATGCTTTATCTGTGAAATCACAGCATTAGGAAACCATCCCAAACATGCCTTGCAACCCGCAGCCTCTCTCTCTCTCGCTCTGTATGCGTCTGTCCAGCTGGACGGACGGACAGATAGACAGCTGATGCTTTGTATGAATGGGCTTGTGAACGGCAGCAAAGTATGAGAACAATGTGCCGCGAGATTATTGAGTTTGCATGATCCTGAGCAGCTGAATGTGAGGGTCGTGCACTTTGCTTGAACCAGCGATCACTTCAAAAGTTGCTCCACGACTCCCCTGTAACTCTTTGGGGTGGAGAACCGTCTCAAAGTGCTTTGCTGAAAAGGATTAAACAAAAATGCAGTGTGTGTTGTTATAATAATAATAATAACAATAAGCTTTGCATTTGATACAGCGCCTTATCATGTCGTTGAGACGTCTCAAAGCGCTTCACAGGATATACCGTAAAGTGAATTGACTGTATGTTTTGTGGGAGAAACGCGGCAGCCAATTGCGCACAGCAGCGTCCCCACAAAACAGTCGCGGATTGAGTGACCAACTTATTATTATTATTTTTGTTTGGGTTTTTTAAAAGGATTATTACCCCCGGAATAGCGATCGGCCATTCCTACTTGCTGCTAGGCAAATAGGCGGATGGAGTAAGGAAAATTGCCTAAGGTCTCGCCCTGATTTGCTCTAATAACCACTAAGCTGGAGGAAAAGTTCCTGAAGCGAGATTCTCGTGTAACACTGCTGTTCTTTTTTTGGGGGGGGGCTTCACATTGGGAGGATGTCTCAAAGCGCTTCACAGGATTTCACTGAGAGGTTCAATCATGAGAGGTGATGCGTTTTTTAGCTGATCAAACACTCGACGACCTGCACCTAAACTGGGCGAGAGAGAGAGTGTGTGCCATCCACCTCGACATCTTGTGGGACACTGCTCTGTACACAATTGGCTGCCGAGTTTCGCCCACAAAATAGACAGTCACTCCACTTTGCAGTACATACAGTCAAATATACAGTCAATATACAGTCAGAGATGTCGAGAAGACATGAAAAGCGCTGTATCAAATGCAAGGATTATTATTATTATTATATTCTGTGAAGCCCTGGAAGATGTCTCAACGATGTGATAAGGTGCTATCAAATGCAAGGATTAATATTATTATTATTAGACGTGTATTGTGAAACTGTGTCTGGCTCGGAGACGCTTAATTAAGCCCAGCGATGGGTTTCCCCGTCTGTCAGACACCCGGTCGACCGAAAGAAAAGTGTGAGTTGTGTATTTTCAACCCTTCCGACCTAGAGGCCGAGCGAGAGAGAGAAAGAGCTGCCAACACCTGAAATAAATGAATCGAAAGCATTGCATTGCGCATCAGAGCAGTTGGGGCTGTCCGATAAGAACTGGCCTGAATTCTTTTGAAAAAAAATATCATTTGTATTTATTAAAAAGGACAGGGTGTGTGTGTGTGCGCGCGCGCATTGTGTGTAGTGGGTGTGTAGCGCTGTACAGCAGGTGGAGTGCTGCTCGTGTTCTGTTCGCGGTTTATCAGTCGGACATTTTTAGCTGTGATGGTATGGAAGGGGAGGGTTGGAGGAGGAGGAGGTGAGGGGGTTGGGGGGGTGGTGGCGGGGGGAACTTGCTACTTAGAAGAAAAAAAAAGGAATCGACACAGGCTTACACAGGGCTGCTTATCACGATGACAGGTCTCTGCGCTATTTCCGCCCAGATGGTTTGAAATAGGAAATGCTGCGTCTGTGACCACTTCTGCTACGCGTCGGGCTGTTTTCGTCGCCGAGCACTTTCTCTGGGGCTGCAGGGTGCTGGGCTCGCCAGCCCGCCCGCCCTCCCTCCCTCCCTCCCTGCCTTCCCGTCTTCGTAACCATGTCCGTCTCTCCTTCTCTTCGGCAGTCCTGCAGCTGAAGCTTCAGCAGCGGAGGACCAGGGAGGAGTTGGCCAGCCAAGGAATCATGCCACGTAAGTGCCGAGGGCGCAGGGTGAACGCAGCGGGTTTGAATGGGGAGTCTGTGGCGGTGGGTTGGGGGTGGAGGGGTGGGGTGGGATGTGTTTGTGGGTGTGTGTGTGTTGGGGGTGAGTGAGAAAAGCCGTTACTCGTATGAATACCGCTGTCTTGCTTTGTAGAAGTAGACAGAAAGGGCCTGTGCCATCACTGAGGGTTAGTTACTCCCTTTTACTCCTCGCAAGGGGTGGGATGGAGACGTGAGCAGGGGAGTGAACGGTGGGCGATTGAGGAAGGGAGGTGACTGGGGGCTCCACCTGCACAGGCACAAGCACAGACGACGGGGAATGAGGTTTAATGTCTAGCGGTAAAACAGGGTCAACCTCCCTCTTCCACCACCCCCGCCCTCCTCCCCCGATCCTACTGAACCCCTCGTTCTCTGATAATGTGGGTGAGATTCAGAAGGGCAAGTGGCCCTTACTTCCTCTCAATTAGCACAACCTGTCAAGTAACGCAACCAATAATCTTTTGCACAATCTGTCACAAGTGGTTATATAGAGACTTGAGGATAATAATAATAATAATAATCCTTGCGTTTGTCCCAGTGCCTTAACACGTCCTCGAGACGTCTCAAAGCGCTTCACGAGATACGCTGCAAAGTGAGTTGACCGTATAAGTTTTATTCTTGCCTGAATAAACAGTAAGTAGGTTACTGTGATAAGAGTGCAAGCGGATACGATTGATTTGGAGATGTGTCTTAACAATTTCCTGCTTGCTTAACCCTGTTGAAGCACTGCAGTTCTCAGGCCTGCTCCGGTATTGCAGAACAAGCTGTTAAGGTGGTTCTACAACAACAACAACTTGCATTCATACAGCCCCCTTCGCGCGAGATTGCATCCCGGAGCGCTATACAGTGGCGGAGTCTGACCCCCCCCCCCCCCCGACGAGCCAGAGGGAGAGGGAGTGGGGGGAGGTGACTGTGAACACGATCAAAAAAGGAAGGTTTCGGTTCTAAACCCTTGTCCAAGGGACTGAAGTAAAGCTGTGTCAGAAGGTTTAGACATTAACCCGCTGACACCCCACTACAGAGTTAGCCCCCATTGCGTCCCCTTGACTCAACGATCATTGAGCGGCTTTCACTGTAAGACCGCGCCAGCCAGTGCCTTGGTGCTTTTACTCTGTAGCGTAGTGGTTGAGAGGACCCCGGGTTCGATTCCTGGCAGGGCGAAACCTTCGGTGAGTTTTTTTTCCTCCACCCTCACCACTGTTTACCAGCCAGTGGCTTGCAGCAGTGTCCCACAAACAGTCATGAATTGAGTGACCCGTTTTTTTTTATTTGCAGGGCTTATTACCCCAATACTGATGACGATAATAATAATAATAATTACTTTGCCCACAAAGTACAGTCAATTCACTTTACAGTATATTCTGTGAAGCCCTTTGAGACATCCCAACGCCGTGATAAGGCGCTATAGCAAATGCAAGGATTATTATTAGTAGCATTGTTATCATCACTGGAAAATCTTCACTCATTGGAGAATTTAGGTGTGAGCTCCTTGGTTATAAGGTGTGCGGCTTAAACAATACTAAGAACTTTTCTATTGCATCTTTCACTACGGAAATATGTCACTCAATCCACGACTGTTCGTGGGACACTGCTGTGCACAATTGGCTGCCCACAAAATAGACTTTTAGACTTTAGACTTTTCTGTGAAGCGCTTTGACCGTCTCGACGACGTGATAAGACGCTATATCAATTGCAAGGATGATTATTATTATTATTATGGGTGGGCGAAAGGAGCAGATATAGAAGAAAAATTAACATGTCAGCTTGGCTCAGTCGGTAAGCACTCTCACCTCTCGAGTCAGAAGGTTGTGAGAGAATTCAAACTTCCAGGTCGGGCATTGCACTTTGCCGTTGCTCAATCCCCAGTGTTGGCTCGAACCAACACACTACACCAGAAGAGGAAGAGGCTGGTGACTCGGTGGCTAGTGTTAATGATGAAAGCATTGCGGAATCCATTGCGGAATCCATTGCACCCATTCGTAAACCACAGGGAGGGAAGGAGTTTTATGGAACTAAGTCATTGCCCATCTCCTCATCTGTTTGTTTTGGTCAGCCGGGTGTCTTGACCCACAGCGGGAGCCCAGCACCGTGCTTCCAAGAGTCTCCAAATCAAACTGATAATTCCGCGCGTTCCCCACCTACACATGGAATTCCCAGAGGTAGATTGTTGGAATGGAATCCGTTCTCTCTTTCTCTCTCTCTCTCTCTCTTGCGCTCTCTCTGTACCTGGAGAGGCGGATTCTGTTTACCCAACTCTGGAAAGTAAAGGGGTAATTAATTGGTCTTGGCTGAAGTATTTGTGGAAGTTCAGGAAAAGGACAAGAGAGCAGTACTTCAATACAACAATACAAGACGTCAGGAACCCTGTGCATTGCATGTGTTTTTTAGCTGCTTATCGCTGCATCTCTCGGCTCCCTTCTTACTGATCTGTAGCCACTACCGGTCCCTTCAACAACAAAGGACATTTACACAGGACCCCGTCCCAAGGCGCTGGGCAGTCAGGGATTTGGACCTGAACTGGGGGTTGGGATCAAGGAGGGGGTGGTGGGAGGGTAGGGGTAGGGGTGCGTTCAAAGGCGCTGTCAAAGAGGAGGGTCTTGAGACGGGTGAAAGGATCTGATCCATCCCTCGCCTCCTTCAAGGTCCGTCTCAACAGCCTTAAGACTCGAGACTCGATCACACTCCTACCCCTACCCTCCCTCCTGATCCCAACCCCCAGTTTGGGTCCAAACCCCTGACCGCCCAGCGCCTTGGGATGTCCTCCCGACGTGAAAGGCGCCATGTTAAATGCCACGTGTTTGTTTGTTGTTGTTCTCGTTGGGTCAGTCTGAGCCCAGGAGTGAAAGCTGAAGAAGGCTGTGGTGTAATCGTTTCATTGACTTGCCAAAGCATTTGGATGCTCTCTCTCCGCCCACCACACGCTCTCCCTCTCTGCTTAACCGGGCACATTGGGCAAGCGGTTGGTTGCTCTGCAGATTGATATCTCTGCCCAGAGAGAAGGAGGGAGATTAACTTGGATTTTAAATTGTTTTGTGTGTGCGTGTGTGTGTGTGTGTACGTATACATTTGGGGTATTTTTTTTTGCTGTTAGCAATTCTGGGATGAGATGAGGGGGGATCACCTGCTCGCGGGACGATTTACTCACAGACTTGGCATCTCAGGGGGAAATCTGCTGGGAATCTAGAAGTGAGTTCCCTCTCAGTTGTTACATTGCTGTTATAGCTGTCCATTTATTCCTCCCTCCCTACTGAACGCGCACACAGACTTGTATCACAGCTGAATTGTCTTCTCGAAGCGCTTCACAGAATGCACTGTAAAGCGGACTGACTGACTGACTGAGTGTTTTGTGGGACCTGGGGTTTGATTCCTGACCGGGGCCAAACATTAGCTAGCGATGGGAGTTAGCAGACCTCTCTCTTTCTCTCTCCGGCAGCCAGAAAGCTTTAGCTGAGGGCTTTCTGTTCCGCTATTTCTTACTCGCACTTTAAGGATGTGAATTGTTTTGTTTCCTGTGAAACTTGATGTTCTAAATGGTCACATCTCACTTCGCTGAAGAAGCAGACTCTGTAACTGCTTGTGATTCAGGAAGTGAAGGTTACCTGACCTTCTCCCTTCGGCTTTCCCTTCTCCCCAACCCCCCCCACCCATCCCCACGACTTGGCGTTTTTCCTTGGCTTATACCTCCCCCCCCCCCCCCCCCGCGTTAGTATTTTGTGGGCGCACGTGGTAACCTATTTGCACAAAGCAACGTCCCCGCAAAACTCCGCAAAGTTAATATCCGCGATTTTTATCCAAGCCGGATATTCTCCACCAGGACACACTTCCTTCTCTTTTTGACTCCATCCCATAGTACCTTCGCCTCGCCCCAGCCCCCCCTCCCTCGGCTCCTTCAAGGCACGTCTCAAGACCCTCCACTTTGACTGCACCGTCGCTCACCCTCCCTCCCTCCCTGCCCTCCACCCACCCCTGTTGATCTCAACCCCCAGCTCAGGTGCAACTTCCTGACAGTCCAGTGCCTTGGGATGTCCTCCCGATGCGAAAGGACCTCAGTTTGAAAACACATCCACGGCAATGCAACACCCCCGCCACCCCCCCCCCCCACCCCCAGCATTGCACTGGAGCGTAAGCCTGGACCATATGAGTTCAGGGACTCTGAACTGAGGCTTGAAGCCACAAGCTTCTCTCCTGAGTGCTGCCAGCTGAGCCGGGCTAAGACTTGTTTTTTGACCTCTAGGCGAGGGTGGGTAGCTGATGTAGTGTGAAACATTCACAGCTGCCAGTGCGGTGTTACTTTCAGCTCAGCCCCAGCTCGGGCGCCTAACCTGCCAGCACTGCCGAGCACTTTCAGATGTCGTCCTGACGTGAAAGGCGCTGTGTAAATGTTAATTACGTTGCACTTTCTGCCCGGCTGTAGATACCAGGGTTGTCATTCAAGCTGCACAGCGAGGAGAGAGCAGGCTGGCCTGGCCGTGTGTGTGTGTGTGAGAGTGTGTGTGTGTGAGAGTGTGTGTGTGTGAGAGTGTGTGTGTGAGAGTGTGTGTGTGAGAGTGTGTGTGAGAGAGTGTGTGTGTGTGAGAGTGTGTGTGTGTGAGAGTGTGTGTGTGTGAGAGTGTGTGTGTGAGAGTGTGTGTGAGAGTGTGAGAGTGTGTGTGTGAGTGTGTGTGTGAGTGTGTGTGTGTGTGTGAGAGTGTGTGTGTGAGAGTGTGTGTGTGAGAGTGTGTGTGTGAGAGTGTGAGTGTGTGTGAGTGTGTGTGTGTGTGTGAGAGTGTGTGTGTGTGAGAGTGTGTGTGTGTGAGAGTGTGTGTGTGTGTGAGTGTGTGTGTGTGTGAGTGTGTGTGTGTGTGAGAGTGTGTGTGTGTGAGAGTGTGTGTGTGTGAGAGTGTGTGTGTGTGAGAGTGTGTGAGAGTGCGTGTGTGAGAGTGCGTGTGTGAGAGTGAATTATCTTTGTTT